GGGGCGGCTTGGGGCCCTCTTGGGTCCCTCTCGGAGCTCTCTGTGGCCGTCTTGGGGCCCTCCTGGGCTGTCTAGGGGCCCTCTTGGGAGCCTCCTGGGCTGTCTCGGGGCAATCTCGGAGGCCCTCAGAGCCGTCTTCGGTCGATCTGGGCCCGAAACAACGAAAACCTAAAAACAATGGAACACCAGAGGGAAATACATGTCGATTGCCTCCTCAAGACGTCTGGGGGTCCTCTTGAAATGATCTTGGGCCGTCCCGGGGGCCCTCTGGGGTCCCTGTTCGACCCTCTTGGGGGTCTTCCATGGCCATCTGGGATCCTCTGGGGGCCCTCTCGGGAGCATCTTGGGCCCCTGTGGGTCCCTCTTGGGACGTCTTGGAGCCCTCCTCGGGGACCTCATGGGCCGTCTTGGGGCCTTCTTGAGCCCTCTTTGCAGCCTCCTACGGCCCTCTTGAGCTCTCTTGGGAACCTTTTGGGGCCCTCTTGGGCCCCTCTTGGGGCTCTCTTTGGCCGTCTTGGGTCCTCTTGGGCCGTCTTGCGGATTCCTCGGGGGCCTCATGGGCCGTCTTTGGGCACTGTCATAGGCTGTCAGAGCCGTCTTCGAGAGATCTGGAACAGAAAGCAATGATAATGGTGATAGAAGATAAGAAGGACCTCAGAAACAATGAACAGCCAACAGAAAATATATGCTTTTGTGCGTCCTCAAGCCGCCTGGGGGGTCCTCGTGGGGCCCTCTGGGACTGTCCTGGGGGCCTCTTATGCCAGCTTGGGAGGCGTGGACCGTCTGGGGGCCCTCTCGTGGCCCTGTTCGGCCCTCTCGGGGGCCTTCCATGGCCCTCTGGGTGCTCTCTTGGAAGCCTGGTGGGCCCCGTGGGCGTCTTGGGGCTCTCTTGGGCCGTCTTGGGGCCCTCTCTTGGGGCCCTCTCTTGGGGGCCTCATGGGCCGTCTTGGGCCGATCTGTCGGGCTCGTTGGGCCGCCGTCGGAAGCCCGAAAAGGCGAGAACCCGACCTTCAAAAACCTGAAGAAGATCAATGTTGCCTCCTGAGGCCATCTGGGGCGTCCTCTTGAAGGTTTTTTGGGGCCGTCTTGGGCCGGACCGTCTCGAGGCCATCTGAAGCCATCTTTGCACTCTCTTGGCCTGTCCTATGCTCTCTTGGAGTGCTCTTGGACCTCCTCGGAGCCCTCTTGGACCTCTCTTGGGACGTTTGGGGGACCTCTTGCTCGTTTTTGGACGCCTCTTGGGCCATCTTGGGGGGGGGCGGGCGGGCATGTTACTCAGGCCCAGCCGCGCTTCCCCCCCTCCTCTCCTCCCCCCTCCACCTCCTCCTTCTCCTTCTACTCCTCCTCCTCCTCCTCCACCTCCACCTCCACATCCACCTCCTCCTCCTCCTCCTCCTCCTCCTCCTCCTCCTCCTCCTCCTCCTCCTCCTCCTCCCCCCCTTGTAACCCCTCCTTCAAGGGCTTCGCCCCACCGAAACGTCTTCACCACTCGTACCTCGCTCTTCCCGTCATGCTGCTCTGGTGGTAGGTAGGCGAAGGCCGATCCCCCCCACTCGAACCGCGCCCCACTCGAACCGCGCCCCTCTGAAATCGCCCCCCCTGAATTCGGCCTCCGGACCGCCCAGATGGCCTCCACGACGGCTTCCAAGACGGCTTCCAAGACGAGACCAGGACGGGGCAAGACTGCCCAAGACAGCCCCAAGTCGGCAGAACAGGCCCCAATAAGGTCCAACAGGGCCCTACGAGTCCTTCCAGGGGAGCCCGAGGAAGCAAAACAATTTCATGTCTCATCGATTGCTCAATGAGTTTGAGGTTCTCACCCGCTCGGGTTTCCGACCGCCAAAGACGGCCCAGGAGGCCTCCGACAAGTTCCAAGATAGCACATAGGGCCCCACAGAGGGCCCCCAGTCAGCCCAAGAGGACCCAAAGCTCGCCCAAGAGCCTCCCAAGAGGGCCCCGAGGCGGCCCTGAAGCGCTCTAAGAGGGCACCGAGACGGCCCAGAAAGGGCCCTCAAGACGGCCTCTGAAGGCGTCAGACGGGCCAAGAACCTCCTCAGACGGCCCAAGAGGACCCAAGAGGCCCCCAAGAGGCCCCAAGAGGCCCCCGGGGAAGCAAAATCCAATATGTTCCTATGTTTTATCAACGGTGTTGAAGATCTCGAATGTTTGGGTTTCCGACCGCCCACAACGGCCCAATAGGCCTCTAAGATAGCCCCAAGACCGCCGATGGGCCCCCCAAAGAGGGCCCCAAATCGGCCCAAGAGGACCCCAAGATCGCTCAAGAGCCTCCTAAGAGGGCCGCAAGACGGCCCTAAAGCGCTCCAGGATGGCACTGAGACGGTCCAGAGAAGCCCCCACGACGACCTCCGAAGGCGTCAGACGGGCACACAAACAACCCCAAGACAGCCCAGGAGGCCCCAAGAGAGCCCTCAAGAGGTCCCAAAAGGCGATGGCATTTCAAGGATTTTGAAATTGTCGCCTGTTTCGGTTCCTGACCAAGGTAGCCCCAAGACAGTCGATGAGGCCCCCAAAGAGGGACCCAGGATCGCCCAAGAGCCTCCCAAGAGGGCCGCAAGACGACCCTAAAGCCCTTCAAGAGCGCACCAAGACGGCCCAGATGGGCCCCCCAAAACGGCCTCCAAAGGCGTCAGGTGTGCCAAGAGCCCCTTAAGACTGCCCAAGATGTTGCAAGAGGCCCTTCAGAGGCCCCAACAGGCCCCGAAGAGACCCCCAGCAGGCGCCCAGGAAGCCCCCAGATTGCCCCATATGAGGACTTGTCCTTCTTGTCTTCATTTCCTCCCCCGCCCCCTCCTCCTCCTCCTACTCCTCCTCCTCCTCCTCCTCCCCACCTCGTGGACGAAGCTGAGGTCGAGTTCCCGACCCGCCTCAGTTCAGACCGCTCGCTGAACTGCAGCGGGACGTGAACTCGACCTCCCCCCTGCCGCGCGGACGAAGATGAGGTCGAGTTCACGACCCGTTCCAGGTCAGACCGCTCGTCAAAAATGGCGCCGTTCCTGCACTCAGTCTCCTTCCCTGCTGCGCTGTTGCACAGGCACGGCGGCGGGCTTTGCCGCAGGCAGGTGGATCATATGGCATAGCAAAATGAAATCCCGGACTCAGACATCCCAAATCTTTGGTCTGGCTTTGACTCAGCCCGCTAAGATTCTGGGAGGGAAGGGGGGGCAACACGGCGCGGTTGGAACAAGAGCCAACCTCCGCCCGCCCGCTCACCCGGAAGCAACAGTATACAACCGACGAAGTTCATACCATCTTCGCGCTCTCACTCAATGTCACGAATACAGTGCGGGCGCGGCCACAAGAAACCCTCGCAAGAAACCCAGCCCTGAGAAGCTGTGCGCGAGGTGCACCTCAGGGAAAACCTGAAGCACCCTGAACGCAGCAGCTCCTTCAACGGCTGCGGGAAGTCACCGCGCAGGGCGAGGAGCGAAGAAACCCAGGACACCCTGACGAAAAGCATATGGTTTCTTGATGCGCGCCCCCACTGTAGTTGTCACTGCGTAATCCGCCGGCTCCCTCGTGGGGCCGCCCGGCTCCGCGGGTTAGGCCTGCTGCTCGCTGCGCCAGTTCCAGCTTCCAGTCTCCAGTGCTGTACTTCTGCTTTCTGCTTCCCACTGTGAATTGTGGAAGTCCGCGCGAGGGGGGGGGGAAGCCGAAAAAGGCTCTGGTTACCACCACCTGGGCGGGTTCTCAAGATTTCTCGGGGGTCCTGGGACACCCCGATACATAAGATTCGCGCACCCGAAGCCAGAATCCTTCGTAAATCACACCGTGCCCGCGCCCCCGAGACCAGAATCCCTTATCAATTGCACAATATTCGCGTCCCCGCGGCCATAAACCATGGCAAATTACATTGTGTTCGCGCTCCCGAGACCGTAGTTCCTTGCAAATTCATCAACGTTCGCGTCTCCGAAACAATATTCTCTAGTAAATTATACAATATCTCGTCCCCGAAGCCACGATCCTTCGTGAATAACACGCTCTTCGCGTCCCCGACATCATAAACCCTTGTGCATTACACAGCAGTCGCACTTTCGAGGCCACAATCCTTCATCAAAGGGCCCCGAGGACTGTACAAGAGGCTTCCGAGACGGCCCAAGAGTGCTTCAAGGCGCCCAAGATGGCCCCAAGACGGCCTAAGAGACCCCCAAGAGGCCCCGAAGAGCGCTCCTAGAGGGGCCGGCCCACGAGGCCAACATCTGCGATGTTCCGCAGGTTTATGATGGATGTTGACACGCTCGCCTTTTCGGACTTCGGACGCTCCAAGACGACCCAAGAGACCCCCAATACCGCCTCAAGAAGGTCCAAGGGGCTCTCAAAACCGCCCCAAGACGGTTCAAGAGGGCCCCAAGACAGCCCGAGAGGGCCGCAATACGGCCCGAAGAGTGACCCGAGACGGGGGACCCGAACCAAAGTGGCCCCCGTTCGGAGCTCCGACGCTGCTTCACGACGGCGCCCAGGCCTCACAACATAGCTCTTGCATACGCCATTATCCGAGAGAGGGTGCCGGTGGCAGGGGGCGATATGTGTATACATTTATATACAGGTGAGCGGGGCAGATGAATAGAGCTAAAACAACTTTAAAGGAATGACGGCCTTTCGCTCGCTGGAGCCAACACTGGGATTCTCAGGGATGCACCCAAACGCCAGCTGAGTGGTCAGCACTGTTAGGACCAGAATACTCGTTGCATGGCTTGACCTGTACGGTTTCAATGGCGCTGCAAAGTGATTTTATACGCTTGGTCAGCACAGCATGGCAACAACTGGAACGTACATCCTTGGCAAGCATTGAGTACTTCGGCAATGGTCTCCACCAGTCTTATGCGCAAGACCGCCTATCACTGAACGCGGGCTGAAATTTAGGCGACAGCTGCCGAGCTGAAGCACAACTGGACGTCCAGAGCGATGCCATTACGAACCAACTTGCTCGCGTTACTTCACCCCAGAAGCGTGTTGCGCATTGCATATCCTAAGGACCGGGCAAATCCCTGCGAGCATCTGCTGAACGTACTCGGCCGCAGTTGCCTCGCTGAAGCCACTAGCTCCTCGGCCCGTCTCAGACTCAAATTCATCGCTTACAGGCAGAGTGCACATCGGTGACGCACAGAGCTGCGGCGAGAGTCGGGAGAGGGTGAGAAGCAAATGTGCGTACACAACCGCCTTGTGGCACACGCGGGCCAAAAGGGGGGGAACACATGAAAAGCACCCGTGCTGCACGGCCAACTCCGCAGACCTTGGGTACCCCAGCGTTGACTCGGGTTACTTGCGCCAGGTTCCGCCGAGCTTCTGCTAGGGGATTCAGGGGGGGCGAGAAGGACGAAGGGGAGGAGGATGGATGGAGGAGGAGAAGGAGGAGGATATGAGAAGGGAAGAAGATGAGCAGGGAGAGGAAGGACGAAGAAGACCAACGCTTGGTCATGAAAGTTCCTCTATCGAAAAGATCCAGAGGAGGATAGGGAATGAGGATGAATGAGGAAGAAAAGGATAGTGGAGGTGGGGGTGAAGGATGGAGGAGTAAAGATAGAGTGTGGGGTTGGGATGCAGGAGAAAACAGACGACGAAAACCAGCGCTCGGTTACGCATACATAATCGTCAAGAGCTTATCCCATGCCAGCGGCGCGCTGAGCCAACCACTAGGTGAAACACATAATCGGCGAAGATGTGCGCTGTCACTCGAAGGGCATAAACAGGAGAGGAGAGGAGAGGATGATGCCGAGGATGATGATGAGGCAGGAGAATGGAACGAGAGGATGGAATAAGTGGATGGAGAAGGATGAGAGAGGAGGAGGAGGAGGAGGAGGAGGAGGAGGAGGAGGAGGAGGAGGAGGAGGAGCAGGAGCAGGAGGAGGAGGAGGAGGAGGTCAAGGAGGACACTTCGAGAAGAGAAGCAAGATGAGAAACATGCGAGGACGAGGAGGAAGCGCCATCTCGATTTATGATCGGACAGGGACAAACTGCGACACGCGATTAGGGAGGAAGAGGACGAGGAGGAGCATAGGATGATGAATACTATGAGAGGAAGGAGAAGGAGGAGGAGGAGCAGGAGGAGGAGGAGGAGGAAGATGAGGAGGAAGAGGAGGAAGAGAAGGAGGAGGGAAACATAGTGGAAGAAGAGGAGGAGGAGGAGCGTCGAAGGCTTGAGTCCCGCTCGCAACTGCAGGGCAGGTGCCGCCTTCATGGGAAAACGACAGTCGAGATGGTAAGAAGGAGGAGGAGGAGGAAGACGACGAGGAGGAGGAGGAAGAGGAGCAGGAGCAAGAGCAGGAGGACGAGGAGGACGAGGAGGAGGCGGAGGAGAAGGAGGAACACTGCCACCAGAGGAAATCAGAGAAGGCCAGATGGAGAAAAACGGGGTGCGGCTATCGGAGAGGAACTTATTGTCACCACTGTGGGGGGCGAAATCCCACCGTGGGACAGCGACAAGCCACACCCCGAAAGGAGAGGCAAGCAAACGCAGCGAACATGACTTGGAGGACGGGGAAACGTCAGCGAGAAGCGGTTGCATTTGAGCCTCGGTTTAATTCTCACTTGCAGCTGGAAACACTGGCCAATGTATCAAGGATGCCAAGGAAGGCCTCTTGTGAAGTTGCTGCACGAGGCGAGCTCGGAACGGAAGACGAAGCCGATCTCCCCTGGGGATCCCAGGCACTTTAAAGGAGTGGTGGACACTGCAGACTAGGTCAAGCCAACAGAAGACAGACGTCGGTTGGTTAGTGGGGAGTGGCAACAAGTGGAAACGCATAGCACGCGATCGACCATAGGAGGAGGCGAGAAAGGCAGGAGGGAGGCGAGGCAGGATCGGGAAGGAGCGAGCTTCAACGAAAAGACATTCAAGAATGTGCAGAAGGGTGTCACCTGCTAGGGCGGTATTGCAAAATAAACACGGTTTCGTGCGAACACGGAACCAGCCAGAGGTGCACCATGCATTCATTCATGGAGGTACGAGTACGAAGGGCTAACGCCATGACAGCATGCGGAACTTTTGAGGCCATCCTCCGATACGCCATCATAACCGCGTCCAATTCAGGCTCGCTGGTGGGGGCCCAATGCTGCATCCGAGCCGCGAAAGTCGGACGAGGATTGACAAAAGCCATGCCCTTCAAAAGTCGCAGCGTCACCTTCTGCAGCGAGGGAGTACCGGAGGAAGGGGCGTTAGGAATCTGAGACACGGTGCGCAGGTTGCTATCCAGCCTCGCGTAAACCGAATTCTTATACCACGGATGCCGACGACACAAATGTACACAGTCGTCGTCGCCATCGAACCCCTCCAAGAGGATATGTGCAGAGGCAAAGGCGGAGGACGAGAGGGCAACGCGATAGGCGGCAGAGGGCAACGCGATAGGCGGCAGAGGAGGAGGAAGAGAAGGAGGAGAAAGAGGATTGGGATGAGGGGGAAGAGGAGGAGGGGGAGGAGGAGGAGGAGGAGGAAGGAGGACGAGGAGGATGAGGAGGAGGAGGAGGAGGAGGAAGGAGGAGGTAGCGGGGGGGCGGGGGGAGGAGGAGGAGAATTGCGGAGCGGACGGAGTGATGAAGGAGGAGGTAGGAGGAGAGGAGGAGGAGAAGGAGGAGGAGGAGGAGTAGGAGGATAAGGAGAAGGAGGAGGGCGGGAGGGGAGGCTGACGCCTGGGGGAGGAGGATGAGGCAGAGAGAGGAAGGATGAGAGGATAGGGAGTAGGAGGAGGAGGAGGAGGAGGCGGCGCAGGAGGAGTATTGAGGAGGGAGGAGGAGGAAGAGCAGAGCAGTAGAGGATGAGGAGGATGATATTAGTGGAAGGCAAGTGCCACCACACCGCCCACCCGCTCCAATCCTCCTCCTCCCCCTCCTCCTCCTCCTCCTCCTCCTCCTCTGCGCTCCTCCTCCTCGTCCTCCTTTGGCGCCTCCTCTTGCTCCTCCTCCTCCTCCTTCCCCTCCCCCTGCTCCCTCCTCCTCCTCCTCCTCCTCCTCCTCCCTCCTGCTGCACCTCCTCCTCTTCCTCCTCCTCTCTCTTCCTCCTCCTCCTCCTCCTCCTCGCCTCCTCCTCCTCTCCTCCTCCTCCTCCTCCTCCTCGTTCTCCCGCTGCGCCCCCTCTTGCTCCTCCTCCTTTTTTCTCCTCCTCCTCCTCCACCCGAACTCCCCCCAGAATACGCGAAACCTGCCGAAAGAGGCTGCCAGCCTCTAGGGAGGCTGGGGTAAGCATTCAGAGTGAATGATGAAACTCGTAATTAAGTTCAGAAGTTCGGGACGCTCTCCCCCTGCCGCCTGTCCTCGTGCCGCCCATCCTAATGCCCCCCACCCCCCAGCCTGGCGAAAACACATACCCCGTCGTGACCCCCCCCCCCCCCCCCCCCAGGAGCCCCCGAACCCCCCTTTGCCCTACGCCATCCTTCGGTCCTCCTCCTCCTCTCCTGCTGCTGTTGCTGGTGCTCCGCCTCCTCCTCCTCCTCCTCCTCCTCCTCCTCCTCCTCTTCCTCCTCTTCCTCGTATTCCTCATCCTCTTCATCCATCATCGTTCTGCGTTTGTCCTCCTCCTCCTCCTCCTCGCCACCTTCGCTCTCGTCGTCCATCTTTCTCCTTTCTCTCCCTTGCTACCCCTCCGCCCCCTGCAACCCCTGTCGGGCGGAGCAGGGTTCCAGCGTCTGCGATGCGGTCGAACAGCTCCCCGCCAGAGCACAGCTCCATGACGAGGTGCACTCGGTCCTCTTGGTTGGGCGGGAGCGCACTGGCCGCAGAGAGGATGGCGGACACGAGCAAGAACGAACGACGCGCGTGTAGGGGCAAGACACCGACATCCGCGGCCCCCTCAAGAGGATTCGCCCAAACGCGAACGCTGACCATCACCATACACAAAAGCTAAGCTGTCACACCCTGGGAGGTGCGCAACTCGGGCACTGCACGATGCTGCCAGGGAGGTCCTGACCACGCATGGTTGCATTATTTGACACATGGCGGACAGCAAATCCAATCTCTTGGTTTGGCGGGAGGGGAAATGGGATGACAATGAGGACGAGAAGGGGGAGTGGTGGCTTTGAAATGCTTCCTCTGGTCACAAAATGGGGCACCTTCAGAGCTCTGGGGTATCTGCGGGGGCGTGGCAAGGAGAAGGAGGGCTGTGACAGAACAGAACCGCACACGCAACTGATCGGGCAATGCGCGTGCCTGTCCTCACCCCCCAGAGACAAATCAATGCCGATATGTATCACATGCTGAACTTGTACGCTGTCTGTGCGTACGAAAGTCCGCCGAGCCGAAACTGGCAAACGCTACGCCTGCTTGCCTCCAAAAGAAAGGCCACCCGTGAGTTCAGAACGATCGTGTGGGACAAGGGCGCCAAGGGCCACTTGGACTGCAAAACGTGCGAAGACGCATAAGGTGACAATGAACAGGTGGCCAAGTAGCACACATGAGCATGACGTGACATACCATGAGGACCACGGCGAAGGTAGTGTAGACGCCGTTACCGCTGCCGTATCTCAAAGCCGAAGTCACACCCCATGGTCATGTTTCATCCCTGCCGACGTCTCCACACGGCGGAATGATTTGCGAACCGCTCTGAAAAATCATGTTGCACCGCTGGCATTGGTTTTCGTCGCGCGCGTGACAAACGGCCCGCGCGCATGAGGTGCGAGGAGCGAGGAGATGAGTTTGCCGAATCTATTTCGGCACTGATGGCGATGGCGATGCTTACGGTGATGACCATCGCTTCCCCGCGGACGTCTTCCTCGCGCGCGGAGGCCAGCAGACCTTCCAGACGCTAGTCGGGCTGGCTTCCTCGTGCACGACGTCGCGACGCGCGCGATTCGAGGGCTTCGCCTGCGCTGGCCCCTGGACGCGCGACATTTCGCTCTGCTCGATGTTCCGACCTCCTGGCCTTTTGCGCCGCCGATTCCTGCAGCAAGTCTGATCAAGACGCACCCATTGGATGAACGAGAGGTCGATACTGTAAAAATGAGCCTGATGAAGAACCCAACCGTATGCAGTTGTGAGTACCGTAATTGTGAGTACAATCTAAGGTGGAAATCCCTACGGGGCAACGCCCGCACGCGGGCTGTGTCGCTGGGGCCTTCGGTGGAACTCCCTGTGGGGCCACGAAACGTGTGAGGAGTGTGCCGAAACAGCGGTGATGCCTACATGCGGGCTGCGCCCATGGGACCTTAGGCGGAGCTCCCTGAGGGGCCTTGAAGCGTGTGAGGGGTGTGCCGAAACTTGGGTGACGCCCACATGCGGGCTGCGCCAGTGGGACCTTCGGCAGGGCTCCCTGTGGGGCCACGAAACGTGCTAGGGGTGTGCCGAAGCCAGAGTGACGCCCACATGCAGGCCGAAACGTTTGAGCGATGTGCCGAAAAGTAGGTGACGACCACATGCGGGCTACGCCCATGGGACCAGAGGCGGAACTCCCTGACTGGTCACGAAACGTGTAAGGGGTGTGCCGAAACTGGGGTGGCGCCCACATGCGGGCTGCGCTAGTGGGACCTTCGGTGGAGCTCCCTGTGTGAGCGGTGTGCCGAAACTTGGGTGATGCCCACATGCGGGCTGCGCCAATGGGACCTTAGTCAGGGCTCCCTGTGGGCCACGCAACGTGTGAGGGGTGTGC